GAGCCCGATGCGGGACTCGATCCAGGGACTCCAGGATCATGACCTGAGCCGAAGGCAGTCGCTTAACCAACTGAGCCACCCAGGCGCCCCAAAAAGTGTTCTTTAAAAAAGGAATGCCTAACATCCTTAGAGAGATCAATGGAGGATAATACCCATTAAAAAAATACAAAAGGAGAAGAACAGGAAATTCTGAATAAGGGGCAAAACCAGGCAGAAATAGAATGTAAATCGATATGAAAAAGAAACAATTAGAAATATCAGAAATGAGTAACAGAATTCATTGAAATAAAGAAGAGAAAAACAGATGAGACTAGACTCCATTGAGAAGAGAATTAAGAAATTAAGCTATTACTAAAGAACTCACCGAGAATACAGCACGAATACGTAAAGATTAAAAACCTGAATTGAGTTAAGTGAAGATAAAGAAGCTCCACAGTATGTGTTATTGCAGTTCCAGAAGAGAATGAAAAGAATGGCACAGGAGTGGCCAGAATTTTTCCGAAGTGGCACAAAACACGAGCCCTCCGATCGCAGGCACACTCTGAGTACGGAGCAGAATAAATGGAGATAAATGCAGACCAGGCCTAATCGGAATCGAACTGCAGAGCCTCTAGGATAAAGATAAAACTCTTCACATCTGCCAGGAAGAAAAGACAGATTCCCTAGGAAAAAACAGCGCTGACTGACATTAGACTTGTCATCAGCATAAGTCTAGAGAAATATTTTCGAAGTGCCAAGTAGAGACAATTATAAACCTACAATTCTGTGCCCTGCTAAATTATTGGTATGAGGGGTTTCAGACATGTAAATACTGAGAGTTTGCCTCCCACCTACTTTCTCGGAAGAGACGATTAAAAGATGTTCATGTGCAAGAACAAAAGTGAGCAGGAAGGAAGGCTGTCAAAAACTATGAAAGGCCTACGATTTCCCCCTGCTTGCAAGGTCACGAGGTGTCTGCCAGTCTCATGGCTGCTGGAGAGACTCCTGGGTCAGAGACGAAGGACTGTGACAGTACAGAGGCAGCATGGGCTTCCTGTTCACATCGCTTCTCCTAAAGCCCCAAACCCCAGAGGGGCGATGCCGAGCAGCTCAGGTGGCTTCTACTCCCACACTGGCCTTAGAGCACAGCTGAAAACCACCGAGCTGTGCAGCTCTGCAATCTTTTCGTTCTTGGATTATGTTTATTTCCTCGCTTTCCTTCCATTCCTTTGAAGAAACTGTGAGCCAGCCTGCCTCATCTTCGCCCCTGAGGAAGACATTATCTTTATTGTCCTGGTGAAAAAAAACAAATCTGCTCTTGCCCCCAAGGGAGAAACTAACTCTGTCTTCCAAGGGTGTTTGTTGACACAAGCGGTTACAGGTTGTGTGGAAATTCCATGGACAATTGTCTCCGAACAAAGAGGACAAATATAAAATTAAAAACAATTTTTTAGCTTAAATTAATCATTGTCTTAAATAACTTATTATTTTGTGTGTGCTTTTTAAAGGATAAAAATCTAATAGTTGGGGAGAAGAGCTGTTTAAAAAAAAACTAAGGTTTCTGTCTGATTTAAGACAGATTAGAGATCCTAAATAAATTTAGGCTTTAGATCAGTTTATTAAAGGATATGTGTGTGTGTGTGTATTAAAGAAAAGACATACAGGGGCACCTGGGTGGCTCAGTCAGTTAAGCATCTGCCTTCAGCTCAGGTCATGATCCCAGGGTCCTGGGATTGAGCTCCATGTCGGACTGTCTGTCTGGCCAGGAGTCTGTTCCTCCCTCTCCCTCTGCCCCTACCCCTCGCTCATGCTCCCTCCTCAAATAAATAAATAAAATCTTTTTTAAAAAAAGAGAATAGACATACAATTTACAGCTTTTTAAACTGAAGAAGGAAAAATATTAGGATATTTTTAAAAATTAACCAATCCAATAGAATACAAGAAAGGAGAAAATATAGGGAAAGACATAGTTTGTGGGATATATCTAAAGAGGTATTTAGAGGAACATTAATAGCCTTAAAGGCTTTTACTCAAAACTAAGAAAGCCCCAAAATACATGAGTTATTTTTTCGCTTAAGTAAGCTGGGGAAAGAACAGAATAAAACCAAATAAGCAAGAAGAAAGATAATGAAGATAAAAGAAATTAATTGGAACAGGGGAGAAATGCACTCCACTTTCATCTGTCTCTTGTTAATTACCTGCACTCTGGCACTTCAGCTGCCAATGTTCTCACCTGCAAGTCTGGAGACTTGGGTCCAAAGACATGAGTGCGCCTTTTCAAGGGAAGTGGGGGCAGTGGGGAGAGTAAAGGGATATGGGTGTAAAATTTAACAAGCAAAACTATTTCAAAGAAAAGAAAAAGGGAAGAAAACAGCTTCAGAAACCAAATTCATGTGACCCAGATGGCATGGAGAATTGTCCTTTTTGGAACTATCCTGGAAAATTTGGGAAGTATGGACACAGACCCCATAATGTAGTCAGTTCAACATGAGTTTGACTGACATTTATTAGCCGGTTACTGTAGTGCTGCTGGGCTACACAGGTAAACCAGACATTAGTCCCGATCCTGGAGGACATAATGACAGGGACATGAACCTACGAGGGGCACTCAGTACAGTCAGAGGACTTGGAGTTAGGGTGGCACATAACTCCATGATTGTTCTGTTCCTCAACCCCAAACAGGAAATAAAACAATTCTTGGGTTGGAATTGTCAATAATTGGCAGAGATAAGAGGTTTTCAAAAGGGCAAACTGTGAAAAACATTTATGGATTCCCAGGATTAGCTCAACCTAATAAAGTAAGGATATTATTCCAACCCCATTAGAGGTAGCCAAAATGCAATAAATGTAAGGATACTGCAGGGGAAGGAAAAAATATTTTTCTTTCTACCCTTCTAGGTGTCATCTGGTGCTCTGCCACAAAAGACAGATTAGAACAAACAACCTTATTAACATGAGCATCATGCATGAAACACGCAGATTATGAGAGAAGAGTAACTCAAGGCTTGGTTGGTAATTGGGCTTATAGAGCAGCTTAGCAAAAGAGCAATAAATTTTTAGAGAAGTAACAAGGCAAAGAAAAAGGATCTCGAGTCTGGGTGTGGGCCAATTGTGGAAAGGTAAATATATGGGAAACTAAAGGAAGTTACATGGGGCCGTTAGTCAAGTTCAATATGTAGATCCTTCTGGTGTAATCTCTGGGCTGATAAGGGTCTAGCTTGTCTCCAGTGATTGGAGAGGGGAGATGAGGCACCTTTGCAAGTTTTTTTGTCTTGCTCTTAGGCAAACTGTGTGCTTGTGTTGTGTTGGCCCCAGAGCTGAGAGCTTTTCTTGTCTCAGCTTCTTTTCAGTTGCTTTGAGCTCAAAGTAAACCTTATACCAAAGTGACATGTTTGCGGGTGGCATTTTTTGCTACTCTCTGATAAGAAGGGGGGATTACAAGGGTGTTTAGCATCAGTGTTCATGAAGGGAATAAAGTCTGAGTTGGGCTGACCTCACTAACTGGGGTGTGCCACCCGCCTATATCCCAAGCCATGCGGAGCTCACTCAGTGCATTTGCTGCAGAATTCACGGTTGAACCTTAACTCTTTTGCATCTTAAAGGTAAAGGCAAAATCCCTTCTTGAATATTTTCCTTCCTTCCCCAGAGTTAATCATTGTTTTGAAGTCCAGTATAGCCTTCCCATATCTGTTTTAATACAATTTATACAATTTATTTATACATATGTATTATTGCCATACCTGTTTTTAAACTTTGTATAGTGAATACATCTTAATACAACTTAATACAACTTTTTAAAAACTCAACATATACTTTTTTGTATTTCAGCCATAGTGATATATGTACCTCTAGTTCATTCACGTTAACTCTTGTATATTTTGTGTATATTGATATATATGAAATAGCAATTATTATATGAGGTAAATACTAATAATCCTCCATTTTTCAGATGAGGAAACTGAAAACAGAGATTAAGCAGTTTGTCCAAGTCATATAGTTAGTAAGGAAGATTCACATGAGGATCACAAATTTTGCCTTATTCCATTCCAGTAGCTTTTCCTGTTTCCTGCCTTGGGTTAGGATTTATAATGTGACAGAGCAAGGGTGAGAGAGGGTATCCTTATGTTGTTCTTGACTTTATTTCGAATGCTTCTAAAAAACTTTAACTTTAGTATGTTTGCTATAGGTTTTCAATAAATATCTTGGAAGGAAGGATGTTGCCTTCTATTTATAGTTGACCAAAAAACCTCTTTTTTCTTTTAATGAATAAGTATTATATTTATCAAATACTTCCTGTCTCTGAAAAAAAAACATGATTTTTTTTCTTTATATGTTGATTAGTAGATTGTTTTTTGGTTTCAAAGCATTCCCGTTATTCTGGAATAAACCCTACTTGGTCATTTTGTGTTCTTACGTTAATATGCTGTTGAATTATATTTGCCGAAGTTACTTTTAGGATTTTTATGTAGGTTGTAAGGTGAAATTGGTCTACAATTTTTAAAAATTATTCTGTGATTATCCAGCTCTGGCTTAAAATTTATAAACTCATGAAATTAGTTGATTTTTCCCTCCTTTTCTGTTTCATGAAATAGTTAGTGTGTTAAAGATACTGCTTCACCTGAAATATTTGATAAAGTTATACTATGAACTATCTGAGTCTAACACTTTTGGTGTGAGATTTGACTGATAAATCAATTTGGTACAGTGCCAATCAGTTTAAATTTTCTGTCTTAAGTGAAAATTATCATTTAATCCAAGTTTTCAAACTCATTGTTACTAAATTGTTCATATATATTTTGACTTTTAAAGTCTCTACTATGACTGTAGTTTTGATCACCTCTTCAATTCTAAAAAAAAAAAAAAACACGAGAATTATAGAGATGATCTCAAAAGAACAAATCAATTCATGGTTATTTGATAAGACGAATAAAATAGACATTGCTCATCTAGATCAAGAAAAGAAATGAGAAAACAAAAATAATACCAAATGCTATTTAAGGGCTGTGAAGGGATTTCATTAGAAAATGGAACCGGAAGATATGAAACAGAGAATCTCACGCATGCTCCCTCAGAATAATGGAACTTAAAAATGGAGAGACTGATTCCCTATAAATGCCTGATTTACAGTGGACTGAGACTCATCTGACCAATGAACATCTGCTAAGAATCTTTCACTATCCTCCAGCCAGTGAACTCACTGTTTGAACTCTGGTTGGCCTGCCTTCTCTGGGCACTCGTTCTCATTAATACAGCTGCCCCAAGCCCTCAATGGACTTGCCTGCAGCATGCATTTTCCGAAGTGCAGTTCCTCTGCTTTTCCTGAATAAACTCAGTTTCTGGTAATTCGAGCTTGCCTCAGTTTACCTCTTTATTTAGGTTAACAGGTTTTTTTTCCAATTCTAAAATTACCTTGTTCTGTGATTGTGGATTATCAAGTCCCTACCAAATCACTTTGCCTGTCCGCCTCTTCTTTGTCATTCCACGTGGTCACTATCTCCGTATCACAGCATAGCCAGGGATGGAGGCAAGTGTCTATGTCTTATTTACCTGCCATGTCCATTAGCTGGTCTGGTTAGAGAAGAAGGAACAGCTAAATTGATTGATTGTAACGTAGCCATTGCTCACACAAGGTAGCCTTATGTGCTCTTGATGAATACCTACCATGTCATGGGGACTGTGCAGGGTAATAGAGATTTGGAAGTTAAAAAAAAAAAGATACACACCCCACCCTCAAAAATTGAAATATACTGGAAAGACAGACATTAAGTAAGTAATTACACAAACAATTACAATAATGAAAGGTACTATGAAAGAGAAGCATAGGCTGCCATAACAAGGGACTACTGGAGTCTGTGAGGGTTAGAGGTGAACGTGGTAGCTGAGGAGCAGAAGTAGGGTAGGGACGGCAGGAAACAGTATCTGGAGGAAGCCGCATAGTGTGTTCAAGAAACCAAATAGCCAGGCTGGTGTGAGCCTGGAGAACACAGAGAGCTAGAACTTTCCAAGAATTGGGGACTTATCCTAAGATCAATGGGAAGCCACTGGATAGTTTTTAATACCACCTCTGGCTAAGCATCAGAAAGCCTACATTCCAGTAGCTATAGATCTGTAGTTATCCTTTCAAAACAAACTTTTATTTTCCCCCTCAAAAAAGCAGAAGTCTCTAGTAGGTATCCCATTTCTGACACATACCAGTTAGTATAGTGAATGCTTCCTTTAGATAAACCATTACTTTAAACTTGTTATATATAATTTGTTAGCTTGAACTAGTTTGCAGTGCAACAGTCTGGGCTTTTCTTCCCGGTTTTTAAAACTGTAATTTACTGTAAAATGCACTTTTTAATGTCTTGGGGACCTCTATTCTGGCTAACAGCATTATTTTGTTATTATCATGTTTACTGTTGTCAATGGGTTGCGGACACAAATGCTCAGTTGGACACCTCCCATGTCTGTCATCAGAGCTCAGCGGTACCTCAGCTTGGGTCGACTAAAGAGGGCCATTGCATGCGAATTCTTGGCAATCCCAGCCTTTTATCCAATCTCCCTAAATTTCCATGTTCCTGAAGGGGCGATAGGATGTTGTCCAAGGGAAAAGCTACTAGTGTAACCACTGTACTCCTGTATGTGTTGTTACATTAACCTATGGATGATTTATCACAGGATCTTGACTTTACTGTAGGAGATAAAACAAAGGATATTTTTCAGGAGCCATGGTATTTTGTCAGAAGCACCTAGATGGTAGCTTTATTATGTTCATTTGTAATGTCTGTTTTGAACTGATGCATTTGTCTGACAACTTTATTGATATTTCAAGTTGAATAATCATTTTTTATTTGAGTATTTGGTTCTTCAGAGGTTTTGTCATTTAAAAAGTTACACTTTTTCTGATCAGTGATTCACCAAAGGGTTTATAGTGATATCAGGCTTGGTGTAAACCAGTTTATAAATTTGCTCTTCTACCAGATTTATTTATACTTTAGCACATGTCCCCTGAGGACTTCATAGTTATATAATGAAACATTTTTTATTGTGGCAGTAACTTACAGACAAACATTTATTATATATATATATTTATATGTATATAAGCCACGTAAACAAAGGCAGTAACTTTTAAAAGTATCTAATTTTAAGTGTCTATCCAATATAAGGATGAGCTTGAATAAACTGGGGAAAATGGGATAAAGTGGGGGAATTGGCTACATTTGTGTTTATCTATCCTTAGAACCATAATTTGAAAAATAACTCCCTAAGTGACTACTTATCATCCCAGTCCTTTATTTTAATAATTAGAAATACTAACAAATAATGACATTACTAATTGAAATATCAATTTTGACAAGCCTTTACTTATTTCTCTATTAAAATGACTTCCTGAAAATAACACAGGAAGTTAATGAATTGCTTGTTAATTAAATTTGAACTTTTTCTCCTCTAGTATTCAAATGAAAAAACTGAAATATGATATATTCAAATTGCTTTATACTAAATTGAACATTAATGGTTATATAAATATAATATATGGTAGTGTTACACATGAATGTAATAAGAATCTGTAACATTCATAATGGAATTTGCTAATTTTGAATATTGGCTTATCTTTTAAGTTCATTTTGTTCCTGAAAATTCAAGTGCTGAAATAATGTTTTACCAGCATTTTCTAATTAGCCAAGTGTAACTTTCCATGAAAAATTTAAATATTCTCTCATCCAACTAACAAATCAATCTATGTTTTCTCCTCTTGTTTTGTTAGCCTTTTAGCAAATACCCTGCTGTGATAAATGACATCTCATTCTGGTTGCCCTCTGAGAATTATACAGAAAACGATTTCTATGACTTAGTACGAACAATTGGAGGAGACCTGGTGGAAAAAGTTGATCTGATAGACAAGTTTGAACATCCAAAGTAAGTAAAAAACTTTCTGATTTTATCCTTTTTTTGTCTCTATGTGACAAATGGCTTATGGAAATATATAATAAAATTTTGCTGAAACTCAATGCATATGAGACAGAATATCTCTAGAATTTATAGTGAATATATACTTAATCAGAAAAGACTTTTATATCAGTCCTTTCTGAAAATCTTTCTAAAATGCAAGTTTAATCTTTCCTGTCTTAGTAAATAGGTGAGACAGAATGTTTTAAAGATCTTAAGAGTTTTTCAGTATTGTTTTTAGAAGTGATTTCTTACCATATCACATCCCAGGAACAGAGGACATGTGGCAGAAACAGGGGTTTGTGGAGAAAAAGCTGTTTTGTCAGTCTCTCAGGGAATATTTATTAAGCACTTGCCGCATGCCAAAAGCTGTATTAGGTCCTAGGATAAAGTTTAATAACCTTATCAGGATCCATCTCAGTGTTGGCCTGTCTTCCTGGGTGTGTGTGTGTGTGTGTGTGTGTGTGTGTGTGTATGTGTGCGCTGTAGTCTTACACTAATCAGATTTGACTCTACTTTGGTTTTAGAAAAGTTTTCTTGAGTTATATCATTAAGGATTTGTTCTGATCCATTGTTCTGTTTCATTCTTCCGGAATTCCAGTTCTGCATGAGTAGGCTCTCCTTTATGTGACTTCTCTACCTATTACTTTCTCTCTAATGTTTTAAAACTCTTTATTTACACTTCATTTTGAATGCTTTTCTCATTGCTACCTTCTCTGTCCCTTACTGTTTTCTGCAGTCTCTTCTTCCTTGCTCACATTCCATTTCCATCTTCGATTACTTTGTTTTTCCCCCTTGTATGAGTTCTGCGAGCTCACATTTCAGTTCCTCCTGTTTTCTTGCCTTCTACTCTCTGAATTATTTGTTCTTCGTAGTTTTACTTCATAGAGGAATTGCTTCATTTGGTTTTAAAAAATCTATTGCAAGATATTTGCCCAACAATTTCTTACGATCCAGGGGCAACATTTTTTTTCCTATGACTTCTTTGTTAAAAAGTTTTTCTTTCATCTTCCTTATTTTTTCCCCCAGTTTTTAAATTGATGTACCTGTGGTATGCATATGATTTGCCTTTTTGTTACTTGTATTTGAATGGTATTGGATTTTCTGAACCAGCTATGTGCACAAAGTTGAGGTGTGAGGGTGGGGGTTGACATGGCAGGTAGGGGCTAGGGTGATCATTCCAGCTAGTTGTTTTCACCACCCTAAGGCTTTTATCTTCTCCAGTGCCAAGAAATAAGTCTTTCTTTGAATATGGCTCATTCATCTCATTGATTCCTTGTATAGTTCTGCATCCCACCCCAAATCTTCTCTTCTTACAAACAAAAGATTCGCCTTTGTTTACTTCAGTTTCAATACTTATCAGTGATAAAGATTTTGAACTTCAGATTATAACCCTCAGCTCTGAGAAATATGTCTTTGCTAGTATTTTCTGAGAAATGCCACTGTTTCTGTTTCTTTCCTTCACATCTTCTCATTAGCTTCTACTTGCTTTGAGCTGCTTTTGGCAGCCTTTAAATTATTTTGGAGTTTGCAGATGATATCTGTGCCCTAACTTTACAGAAACAGTATATATGGAGCAGCCTGGGTTTTTGACATGATGGAATACCCATTCAGTCCAGGACTATTCTGTGAGAGAGAAATTTCCAGGAATTTCCATGTTGATAGTGAAATTCCAGTTACTTACTTTTGAAGAAGAGGGAAAGTGTAGGACTAAGACTGATTGTTCAATATTAACTGAGATACCAAAAGGACATGACTTGTTATTTTTTCCCCATGGTTGTTTAATATGTAGACAACCCTTGGGTATCAAGGATTCAGAATCTATTCCTAATTTTATACTTCTCAAGCTTTGCTTCCTGCCGTTGCCTTAGCCCTACCTCTACTCTCATATCATCAGTGTCAAAAGTTAGAGGAGTAGCCCTTTCTGGTTGGAGATGATCAGATCTTAAAGGTTAGAGGGAGATGTTGTTGCCTGGATGTGGAAGTAAGTGTGGTTTGGGGGCGGGGTAAATATTGTTTTTATCTGACTTGGAGGTGATCTGCAGTGGTGAGAGTAAATGCTGAATGGGCATGCTAATTGGAGAAATTCTGTGAGAATGAGGTAGTGTTGGGGTCCTTTGACCACGAACACACCAGGCAGGCAGATATTCCATTAAAAAAAAAAATCACTGGACTATATAGGAATGCTCTATTGATGCAGATCTATACACACAACCACATACTAACTTATGAAAGTAGGATTTGTCCAGTTGCTTCCAGAGGAGACAGTACTTTTGCTTGGAAATTTGAAAACAACCAACCAACCAAAAAAATACTTTTTATTTGCACTGATCTTACCATCTTTTAAATAAATGTTAAACAGATATTTAAGGCCAATTATTCTGGAGCTATGCCAAATGATTAGTCTGCTCAGAGTGTGCACCTATCTTAATAAGGGACTTGGTGGTTGGAGTAAGGTTCCTGTGGCAGAGATTGCTAATTATCTCTCAATATCCAGTCCCTCATTTAAAATATAATGTAACTTTGATTTTTTATCTAAGCAGCACTATAACTAGGTGTATCTATGTGGCCAAGTCTAGCTAATGATTTATAAGTAGAAGTGTTTAGGTATTTCCAAAAGTTTCCCTGAAAAGTTAGGTCGAGGCTGTCCTTTTTCCTTCCTGCTACTTGGATGTGAACGTAATGGCTGGTACTCTGGCACCCATTTTGGACCATGGTGTGACCTTGGCAATGGAAGTCATGTCGAGTACAGCCTGGGTCTCTGGCACCGGAGTGTCAGTTCAGCCCTGGACTTTTATGTGAGAGACAAGTGTCTTGTTGAAGCCATTGTTTTTAGATCTTTGTTACTAGCAACCAAAGGTAAACTTTGCTATTATAGCCCTGAGGAAAAAGACAGACTTGCGGAAAAGGATACATTATTTAGTAATAGTAGCTCACTGAGTAAAGATCCTCAGGAAATACCTGTTGAGGGCCAGATAGTAAATAGTTTTGACTTTGTGGGCCATAGGGTCTCTGCAACATCTGTGCCCCCCTCTGCTATTGTAAAAGCAGTCATGGACAAAATGAAACCAAACAAACATGGCTGTGTTCCAGCAAAGCCTTAATTACAAAAACAGGTGAAGGGCTAGATTTGGCCCATAGTTTGCTGACTGCAGATGTACAGGAGGGAGCCACATATAATTTTTTATCTGACCCCCACTCACATATTCTAAAATCCTCCTCTCGGAGGTCTTTTTTCCTTGGGCACCCTGCACCCTCCCATTCTCCCCTCATTAAGAGTTCCTGACTTGGGTGGTGGCAAGTGAAGGGTCACCTGACCTTGTACTCATCAATGCATATCTGGAGCTCAGGACTTAACTTTATTTTCTAAACACGGAAATTAAATACTGCTAAGCAGTCCAAAGAGCTCTGACCCTTTCTTTGCCTACCATCAAGAACTGAGAAATGCTAGTGGCGAGTGAAAGACTCTCTGAAATAAACAAGTAGTTGAACAAATTGTGTGTTAATTTTTTTTTTTTTTTAACAAATTAGGTGTCATTTTGTGAACAAGAGCAGATCCCAAGATGTTTCAGGGAGACATAAACTGCTGAATAAGAACCTAATTTCATAATGTTAGACAAATGGGCCCATTTTTTCTGGGTTACAGATAACAGTTTGTGCCCTGAAGGGTTACAGATAACAGCTGTTCAGGTTAGAAGAAGATGACTTTTTGTTCTAGTCCGTCATTCGGAACCTTCTCCCAGAGCATCTTTGCCACTTAATCTATAGGCCACTCACTGTGCAGAGGCATTCTTCTAGTTCCAAATTGCACGTAACAAAAAGTAGAGTAGTGATGACTTCTGAAGAGGAGATCTGCGGTCCCTGGGTGTGCTTTGATGCCTTTGCAGCATTTTACTATATGCATAGTGCGCGGAGTCATGAGAAGACTTAGGGAAATAAGTTCTGCATGTCAACATACAAACCTGGGTATCTGTTGTTTGACGCGTTTATGAGTACAGTGGTCATTTTAGTCTCTATGTCCGTGCCTGAATGAATTATGGGGTACAGTGTTTATTTTCTCCTGTAGCACAACTACTTAAAACACTTCCTAGCCCCAGGTAGGAGAGAGAACAAAGAAGAGCAGAAAGAAACTTAACCATTGTCTTCGGCCACGAGCACCTCATGTGGGGATGCCACCAATTATTTGTGAGCTGTGGAAATGGACTGGAAAGTGGGCTCGGATGGGACGGATTTGGGTTGAGCCCAAGGTGGAGGTTTTTGGAAGTTAGAATTAGGGGATTTAAAAGACTTACTTGACTGGACTGCAAGGAAGGGGTGGTGGGGAAAATGCGCCAGGTGTCTGCAGCAGGCTCTGCTTGGCCGTGTCCCCAAACCAGTGCTTCTCACAGGCCTCCCCCTTGTTCCTGGGACTGCTGCTTGTTTTGTGCATCCTGCTCAGACAGTTGTGGACACGCTTTCCTGGATCTGTGAACCCACAGTCAGGGTCTAGTTGGGGCCAAGATGCTAGCGGTAAGCATCCTGAGCCATGGGCACCAAAGGCGAGTCCCAGCTCTGTTCAGCCCTCCTTGATCCAGTTAATAGTTCTGTTCTTTATGTGACCACTTGCAGTTGGGACAAATTTGGTACAGGTCGGTATACCAGAGCACTTGTTCAGTATTTTTTAACAGCATGCTGAAGAGGGGCTTCACGAAGAGAGGCGCTTTCTCAATGTGGCTGGCCCCCCTTCTCAGTGGGTATGAGTCACGGGCATTACCTGCTCCTAACCGGCCACAGCAAGGCGGTGGGAGCCCCTGTGGATGAGGCAGTTTGGATGACTTCTCCTTCCTTCTTCCCTTCCTCTCGTCTTTCCCTCCCTTCTCTCTCTCTTTTTTTTGGGGGGGGGGGGGTATTTGATTTTGCTTTGGCAAATTGCATCCAATAAAAACATCTGCTCTTCTTTGTTCTCTCTCTTCTTTGTTCTGTATCTTGCA